GAACTTTGTATGCCTCTACAATACATTGCTTAGCTTTCTGTGAAGAGGTAATATTAGTTATATAAGAAGCAGCCTTGAATATGTCAGTATGGTTTTTGAAAACATAGAATAGTCATGAAGAAATCAGAAAAAGAGATTACAGGATGAGTTTCCAAAATCAATAAATATTGAAAAGGCTTGAAAAAACAAACAGCATTCATCAGAAAGCAGGGTTTGTTTTTTTTTTTTTTTGTTTATAATGGCTATTGGAAAAGGGGCTGCAGAAATTCCAGGATAAAGAAATAAATGATTTCATGTTTGAGCTTGATCAAAGCAGTTTCTAACAAAGTAATGGAAGATGTGTCTATGCATATGAGATGAGGGAGAATTTTAAGAATTGAATTTAGTGAAAGAATTATAAGGCTTATTAGTCTTATTAATTGTTCTGCTAAAATGAAGCTGGCATTATGGGTAGAAATGAATTGATCTTTTAAAAAAATACACAGGACTTACGGTGGATTTTTAATGGATTTTTTTCCACGAGTTTGAATAGTTGCAAATTTGGAAGATAAACAACTTGAAAGTGGAGACTAATGATGTTTTTAGGATAGGTAATAAATAATGATTGAAATTACCATGTTAAATTTAATTTGAGTAAATATTGCTCAAAAGAAGACTTAAAATTCACCTGGAGACAGTAATGGTTAGTTAGTTAATGAGCAGAACTGATGGGTGTTAACTGAGGCACTGAAGGGAAGACTTTCAGCTGGTGTATTTTGGGACACCTGATTATGTCAGTTCAGGGGTTCAGGTGTCTGATGTTTGTGTGCACATGCCTGCTGGGTGATGTCTGGAAGTGGTGCATTTGAGTGAAAGCTCCAGCTTCTTTAGGTAGTGATATTTGTGCTTTGAGAGTTTTCTCAAATTACAGCAGCCCTGTAATTTCCAAATGTTACCCAAAAATGTGTTTTCCTTTTTCTATAATATTAGTAAATAGTAAGAAAAAATCCTGAAGACAAAACCTGTTTTGTTTGCAAGCTTTGGGAGTTAAAGTGCAAGTTGGACTGTTACTTAATTCAGGTCCTTTGCTTTCTGCAGTACTTCAAGGTGGACTGTGTACATGTTTGTTTATGAAGTACAGTAAATAAATAACACCTTTACTGAGTTTGCCTTGTCTGAAAGTGGTACTCATTCTTCTTGAGCCTCACAATTCATCTGCTCATGCACAGCAGTTCCAGCGTCTTGAACAGTTCCTCCACACTTGGTCTTGGGCAATCAGTCAAAATCTCTTGTGAGTGGTGGCTGTAGGGTTGGCTGGCATTTAAGGAATCCTGTTTTGATAAAAAAAGTAATCTTTTGTATGTACCTTCCAATCCAGGCCTTTCTGTGAGCACCTGAAGGATGTTTTATTAATAAAGTAATACACAGAATATCTGTTCTTAAAATCAGACTTTTTTGCTCTCCATCATTTAGAAAATTTTTCAAATACTGAGAGTCAAAATCAACCAATAGTAATGCCTAAACAAGTTAAGTGCTAATACTTTTTTAAAAAATATTTATTAGGAAGACTAATAATTTGTCCTCAACCATATATAACTGGTGAAAAATCAGCAAAGTAACTTTCTGTGCTCACTAGTCACATTTTCTTCATGCATGAAAAATGATACTGCATTCAATTTCATTGTGTTTGACATTCCTAATGTAAAAAGGATCTCTTAACAAGGTGAAGTGACATGGTGAAAACTCGAAGAAGTGACTGGAAAATCTCTCTTATGCCATTCCCATCATTTTTGTAGGGTAGCATATTGCTTTTCCATTTGTCAGATTTCCTTTTTTAAACATCTTTTTTTTTTTTCAGTTCTTCTGCCACTCTATCTTTTGACCATCTTTGTGTGTCCAGTATTGCACAGAAAATGTCCATTTATGCTAATGAGAATTACCAGGATATTAATTGCCCATTTATTCTGAAGCAAATCCATTTTTTTGTTCAAGTATTGCATCTTGTTAGAATTGATATTTACATGAACCAAATATTTGCTGAATTTCTACAGAATCATTTTTCAGTGAGGAATTGTAAACAGCAGCAGTGACTTCAGGAAAGTCACTGCTTTGTTGATTTCAACTCCTTAGCTAAAATGATGAAATACAGGTGATTTAGCAAGGTTATGGACTAAAGTAGCCTGAATTTAATGAATGACAAGCACCATTAGGTTTTACTACGCTGCATCTAGTGCCTAAACATAGCCCTGAAGACTAAACCCAAGTAAATCCCATTAAAACTTTTTGGCTGAGGAAATGACCATCATCCATGTGTTTAAACATGGAAGTGCAGCTAGAGAAATTAAGTAAGTGTGATAAAACAAGTGTATTTATAGCAAGACGTGCACTTGCTGTTTCTTCTTAGGAATGAGTGCTCGGTTGATGATAACTGTACGTGTTTTCTTGTGGAATCCTTCAATTCTGGCAGATAACTGTTTCCTTCTAGATATGCCAGTGTATAGCTTCAGTTATTTTTTATGTGTATTTCTTATGTACCCCAGAATATGATAAGCTGTTCTGGAGAACTGATCCTCTGTGAGAAAGTATACTTGGGGGATTTTTGTTTGTTGGATTGATAGTTTCCATATGAAAAATCTTAACAGTTAATTTTTAGTGAATTCGTTAATGCTTTAAGTATTGCTCTTATAACTTAGCAAATTATACCTATTTCAAGGGGTTTATGTTTTAAATGTAAATAAATAAATTGAATGGCAGAGCATGTACTAATTGATGGAAGGAATATTAGTTTCTTTTCTGTCTGTTTAAAGAAAAAATAGCATATTCAGTGACTTCATGTTGCTAATGAATAAGGATTTTTCCCAATACATTATAGTAACAAACAGACTGTGAATTAAATATAGAGTAACACCTTTTAAGAAGTAAAATATTTATATTCCTTTGTATTATAAGTAAGTTCCGTTTTTGTCAATTTTATGAACTTGTCTAGAAAGGAAATTACCATGTGATAAATAATTTAAATTCAACTGCAAAACTAAGATTATTGAATAGTTTAACTTACTTAGCATAAAGTTGCAGTCTGCACAAAGGTTCTCCAACATTCCATTTTAAGAAATGATAAAAAGGAGAAAACTTAGTTTCTATTAATTATGTGACAAATGTGTGCGTACTTTTATTTTTCTAAGAACACTTAGCTATGCATTTGTAGCAGGGAACTATAACATATCCATTTCTGAACTTATGAGAAATGCAGGGTTTAAATTATCTCATGCATTTTATTGATATGTTTTCTTTCCAAAGTAGGTATTGAATTTTATTTCCTTCTGTGATATGATAGGTTATCTGTTAATAAAATTCTTTCCTTTTCATTTGTTCAACCCAGAAATATGAATGTCTCAGAAATCATGTTGTATTTTGCTAACATCTGTACAGTCTTTCAAATTCCTTAGTTCTGCAGCATGATTATTTTGAAGGTGTACTTCAATGAAACACATAAATGAGCACTGAAAAATAGTGTATAAAATGACTAGTGCTCATGTGAGAGTTGTTTACATTTCTTGTCATCTGCTGCTTTGTGACCATAATATAAAATTCAACCCCACCCCTTTTTTATTTTACCTGTAAAGCTTTCTGGTTTACTTGTATTTACATTTGTTCATTCTTTTGTGAGCTTTTGAGGACAGGAGACAATTGTCATACTTAGTCAAGTAGGTGACTTGTGATTAGCTAGAGGAAGGCTAAGGGGCTGAGAACATTTTAATCTCTGCATCACATACTGCATCCAACCATCCGAACACATAAAATTCTCTTAAATTTCATTGCAATCCTTGTGGATTGACCCTGGCTGGACACTAAGTGCACTCCCCTTCATCCTGGTGTCAGCTTCTACTCCTGGGTTTTCTCTCTTTTCCCTCCCAGCAGTGCAGAGGGGCAGGAAGTAGGTCAGTTCATCACACACTGTCTCTGCCACTCCTTCCTTATCAAGAGCAAGACCCTCGCAGTCTCCTCCCGCTCTGGTGTGGGGTCCCTTCCCACAGGATGCAGTCCTGCAGGCACAGATTGCTCCAGTCTGGGTCCCACCCCAGGTCTTGAGTCCTGGCAGTAAACCTGCTCCAGTGTGGACTTCCCACAAAGTCACAGCCTCCTCTGGCCATCTGGTGGATCTGGTGTGGGGCCCTCCACAGGCTGCAGGTGGATCTCTGCTCCATCCCTGGAGTCCATGGGCTGCAGGGGCCAGCCTGACTCACCCTGGTCCTCACCTGGGCTGCTGAGGAACCTCAGCTCCAGGGCCTGGAGCACCTCCTCCCCTCCTTCTGCACTGACCTTGGTGTCTGCAGAGCTGTGTCACTCACGTATTCTCACTCCTCTCTGTGTCTACGGTTTGAAGTTGTTCTTTTTTCCCACCTTTCTAATTATGTTCTCCCAAAGGCTCTGCCACCATCACCACTGGGCTTGGCTTTGGCCAGCAGCGGGGCTGCCGCGGAGCTGACTGCTGCTGGCTGCCTCGGACATGTGGGGAAGCTCCTCACAAGAAGCCACTCCTGTAGCTCCCCCCCTACCACAACCTTGCCAGGCAAAGCCAGCAGAGACCGTGCATGTAGAAACACTCAGATAGCTGAGACCTGCAGTTGATTCTGTACTACCATCTGTAGGTTTATTGCAGTGCAGATTGCTTCAGCATTTGGGGGTTTTTGTCTCTTTCCTTCCCCACCTGTTGAATAAAGACTGTAGTATTTACTATAGAATAAAGACTGTAGTATTTACTAGCTTTACAAAAGAATTTTGAGATTCTGCAAAAGAAATTTGAGATTAAATACCTACCAAATAAAAATTACTCTTATGTTAGTAGAAGAAAAATGGTTGAAGATTATTATTATTATTATTATTATTATTATTATTATTATTATTATTACTACTATTACTATTATTATTATTATTATTATTTTATGCTTTAGTTACAGATACTACCGTATTAAGAAGAGAAAAATAAGGAAGAAATTCAATCAGTCGCTTTGTTTTTGCAGGTTCCTTCATGCTGGTGAACACATCTGGAAGATTTGCCGGACAGAAAGCTCACCTCCTGATGCCCCATCTGAAAGAAAATGATACACATTGTATTGATTTTCACTATTATGTTTCAAGCAAGAGTGGAGCTAGCCCTGGCACTTTGAATGTATATGTGAAGGTTAATGATGGTCCTATTGGTAACCCAGTCTGGAACACATCTATCACTGCCACTTGGAATAGAGCAGAACTGGCAATTAGTACTTTCTGGCCCAATTTTTATCAGGTATGTCTTACCTTTTATGAAATTTCATTTCTCATAATACCTAATGGTTGTTAATCGTCATTTTAACTTTAAATCAAAGTACCTTTCAGTATTTCTAGTTGATCATCATCTTAATCACATTTTTGTACATGATGCTAAATGTTTGTTTCTGCATACATATGGATGTGTTTATATGTTTACATATATTTATAGAAGTGTATGAAGTGCACACATGCTCTAAATGTGGATGAACTAATTATGTTGAAAAAATCTAGAAATTTTGCCATTGATTTCAGTCAATTAACTCTGTTTCTCTGTAATAAATTCACTCGTTCTTTCAGTTCATTAGGGATGCAGCAATTTTTGTTACACTACAGTCTTCAAGTTTGATTTAGATCAGCAATACTTGTTGCAGAATCCTTTGAATCCTCAGTTCAGGTCTTAACTCTGAATGCAATATCCATTTGTCCAGTAGTAAACATAAATATAATCATATCTGTCACAGGAATGATGTTTTGAGTGCATCCTAAAGATTCAGGGGGAATTTCACTTGACAGTCCCTTAGAGTGCTGCTTTTCTGTAGGAAGGTTTAGATTATACAGTTATTTACTGTTCTATAGTAGTTCAATGTTTCTTCTCCTTCTTCCTGTGAAAAAGTCTATGTCTCCACAAACAAGTAACTTACTTCAATAAGAGCAGGCCAGTAGCATACAGGTGTTACTGAGGTTCCCCCATCTTCACTTGAAGTTTCGAAAGTTTGAATTGTATTTTATTTGTTTGCCTGTATTGAATATTGTCACCTTACTTGGAGTAAGTAAGGTACTCTGGGAGGCTTCAGTGGACTCCTTTCTGCAGCTGCAGCATCTGATCTGTGAGGATGTCTCAAGTGAACTCAATCTGTCCTTTTTGAACTCTTTTCTTCTAAGGAAAAAAAAAATGCTGAAGAACTTTCTGGAGTCTTTCCCCTATGATTATTTCACCCAAAATGAAACAGAAAGTCATACTCCAAAAGATGAGTTTGGAGGGCTAGGAGCATTTTATTCTTGGAATGTGAGATGCCTGGCAGTTGATGCAATACTTGCAGACCCAAAAGAACATCTATATTCATTTTCTCTTGCCTCTGATAGTGTGTTCCTAGGTTGGATAGCTGCTATTCACAGGGTCTGTATTTGCATCCAGTGTTCTGCTGCAACTGCACTGTCAGGACTTCCTGGAGAGGATTCAGGGTAAGCTTAAGGACATCTCAGCAAACTTCATGATGAAGATCTTTTATAATTGTCTGCAGGCTCGATGAGGTAATACTCTTGTGCCTTTTGAGGAAGGGCAGGCATATTAGCAGAGCTGAGGTTCACCTCAGCTGTGTGGGAGAAGCTGTGTGCTACCTGACTCTGGAGCACAAGGCTGTATCCTGATCACAAAGTCCAAGCTTGGTTTAGTCATACATCTCTCAGCATGAAAGGGCAGTACGTATTTTGTTGCCTGTTAGAGTTCAGGAAGTGTTTAGATGGTGCTCTCTGTCATTTGGTTTGGTTTTAGGTAGTCCTGTGAGGAGCAGGGAGTTGGTATCCATAATCTTTAAGTGCCTTTTCCCAGCTCAGGACACACCCACAATTCTCTGCTCTTACATCAAGATCTCATGTTAACAATTTGATGCCAGTGTTGAGAATGCCTTCCAGTGCTGCCAAAAAGCCTTTCTGTCTTGACTGAAATAGTGAAGACCAGTCTGTGTTGTTAGCCTCAATGGATGGTGGAAGAAGAGGATAGAGCATCCCACAGACAATTTTGTGGCTGACATTGGATGTAGCTCAGTGGTTTATAATGTGGAATTTACTGGAAGGTTTTGTGAACATGGTGGGTGGTTCAGGAGTACTGAATACTGGGTAAATGTGTGACTGTGTCATTTATGCTCAAGTCTGAAATGTTCCCATCTGTCTAGTGAATTAGTAGAGGAGCATCCGGTTTTCTGTCTTCTGAAAGGAGTCTGGTTTTATGCAGCAGAACTGCTGAGGAATCAGCAGTCAGTAAAGAAGAGGGCTATGCTTCAAAGTCTCACTCTAGCTTTGAATCAAAAGGCTGATGTGGACTTTTAGTAGAAGAAGACTTGACTGACTGTTAGTTTTAAGGTAAATTAACATGTTCTTAAAAACACACAAAACCTCCAATGGTTTCAAATGTTCATTACTAATGTTATTAATTATAATTTGTGTCAGATTTCTGACTATATGATACATCTAACTGATGTCTGAGTAATATGGGTATTTGGCCATAGAAACAGAAGGATAACCTTTCCCATCCTCTTTTTCCTCAAGACCTGACCATCTGGACTGTTCATTATTTGTAGGTGAACCCTTACATGCTTTGGATGTGGCACTGCAGTTTAGCAGATTGCCACTCATCAGCTAATGTGTAATAGATGCCTGAGCCTGTCTGTAATGGATTCTGTGTGCTCTCCTTGCTGCTGGAAATGTTGACATTTTTGCATAATCTTTCTTTCATTGTGGAGTATAGTAAGTAATTTTCTTTGCATTTACTGTGTATAGTCTGAAATGCTACCTGGTTAGGTACTGCAATTTAGCTGATGTGCCAGAAGATCTCATGCTATGGTAACATCCATGGCAGTGCAGGGAATCACTGTTAAATACTGTAGCTTCACTGGTTTCATTGTAAATAAGCTCATTTATTTTCCAGGAAGTGCTGTCACCATTTTAAGAGCTTACAGATAATTGTCTTCGTTTTTGGTTGCCGCCATCCTCTCAGAGATCTGTGTTGCAATTTCCTCACTTGAGTGCTGACATTTGCAATTTTTCATCGTTTTTGAACTCCTTTCATCAGTTTTCATGCTTTTTCTTCTTCACGGAGTTTGTTGTGGGGGAAGACAGGATGTTAGCTGCAAGCAGCTGGGAGAAGGGCAGGAAGAGGAGAGAGGGTATTGGATCTTGTGACAATATGGCCCAAGTTAGGTGACAGCTCCGGTGATGGCAGGAATAGTGGGAAAGGCACAGGACTCATCTGATGGGTATATAATATAGTACCAAGTCTGTTTCCTAAACTGCTATTCATTTGAGTCCAACACTCCAACCTCCTTTGGCACAAATCCTTAATGTTCCACACAAAACCTCCAAAATATGCAAGACTTCCTCCCAGTGATTTTCTGAGTTTGTCTGACCTTACTGAATATAATTAAGAAAAGCTCCTTAAGAAGATTTTCAAGGAATGATGGAGCCCTTTTTAACTTTTCTTGTATGAAGGTTGTAGTTTCCCAATGAGTAATCTCTGAGAGAAGACATGACATTAATAGGTGAAGGGACAAAGCAGTGTAACTCTGTGATTGTCTTTGTTGTGTTTTACATCACATCACCTGTGTAGCCATCCACATCTGTGAATGTTTTGTAATTCCATTCCCTTAGTAGAACACCTACAAGTTGTCTAGATGCAAATGAAACCAAAATGTACTACAGAACTCTGAGAACAAATTATATATGATAATATTTCAGGGTTACAATATTTATACAATTCAATATTTTTTCAAACAGTGTGTTGTGTCTGCCTTGCTGTTGAAAAACGTAGGCAAAATAACTCCCACTAAATGGTAGCTGACTACAAATCAGATTATGTAGTGTGGACTGAATTTTAATCCAGCTTCTAAAGATTTATTGGTTTAAATCATGTATTGCAGACGCATATAAGCAAAGTGTTCAAAAGATTTAATAATTAACAGTAGTTTATTTTTGTAGTACCAGTTGCCCAAGCTTGTAAATACTGTTCAGGTTGGGTTTCTATTTAGAATCGACTCGTTAGAAGTACAGTCTTTGAACTAAATAATATATTTCCTTTAATGTACCCATTTCTTTTTGCCAGTTAGCTATTTGTGTATGTTGCACACCATGGGTAACCTGTGCTACGTATATATCACAAATCACAATTATAACCTGCATGTAACCACATTAATTGTTGATTACTTGCTGACTATTTAAATTGTCAAGCATTCTGTCGATGAAGGATATATTTAAGTTTGTAATTTTTCATGATCTTCCAAGTAACTGCTGCCTAATATCTGCCATTGATTTTAGGGTATGTCTGCACTGCTGTCCAGTTAGTGATAACAGTGTGCTTGCAGTAACGTGGGTTCAAGCTGCCAAGCACCTTCTGAGAGTCCAAGATAATCAGCACAGCTTGTTCTTTTCTGCTGTGCCTCCTGGTCTCTGAGCTATTTGTTTTGAAGTAGCTGGTGTATTTCTGCAGGTACTAGTCTCATTTCTGTTTTATAAAATCGCTTTAGGAGTGCTCCCCTGAGGGAGCATTGCCTTCCTCTTTTTAACATCGTGCCCGGGAGAAATTTGTTTGGTTTGCTGAGCTATTGTCTGTTTGGTGCATCTTAAGCAAGAGCATCAAGGAGTTTATTGTACCTTTGGAGACAGCCTGCAAACAAAACAAAGCTTCACACAATTCCTAAGACCTTCACCCTCTTCCTAACTTGGGTAGAATTAGAATGTACATAGAAAAAGAAAAGTGAGCACTACATAGATTTTGCTGGTTAGTGGCAAGATTGTTTTTAGTTTCTTGGGGAGCAGTCTCAGTAGGTTGAGAGGCTCTAAAATTGATGCTTTGAGATAAAAGTCATGAAAACACTCCTCATCTAGTGAGGAGAGGGTGACAGGGTTTTGGGGTTTTTTTTGGGGAGGAGTATGTTTTTATTTTCTTTAATGTTTTGAGGTTTTTTCTCATTCGGATTTTTTAGCAGGAGTAGAATCTGGTGATTTTAGGTTTTTTTTCCTAGGTTAGTTAACAATTCTCAGACCAATAAGTAGTATTTAAAATTTATTATATATTAAAATCAAATATATACTATATATAAATATATTTAGAAGTGTTACCATTTTGGAACATAACAATATGCAAAAGCTACTACTGAGTTGAGTGTGGAGAGGGGATTGTGTTCCCTGCTTCTAACCCTTCAAGCAAGCAATTTAACACCGCACCACTGCAAGTCACACACCATCCCCTTATCAGTTTTTATATTTTGTATTATTTGCTTTGTACTTTGCTGGAAGTCAGTCATGGCAGCACTGAACTGAAACAAATCTTGTTTAAATAAAACAACAAACACTGCAGATTTAAAATCCTGAAATTGAACTGAAAATATTAAAAATAGCTTCCAGTGAGGTAACACAACTGTCTGTGCCACTGCACCATCTTTAAATGTAAAATCCTATGAAGCTGGACTGAAAAAATGGGGTAAGAGCCTGTCAGTAACTCCTGATCCTTTTTAGTGAGGACACAAAGGAGTTACATGGTATCACTTCACAGAGATTAGATTTACCCTTCACCATTCTGACACTTCCCCTTGTAAATTAGGAGTTTAGGGAATAGGAAGCAGTAGATCCAACCTAACTTTTTAAATCTGAACTTAAACATACATTTGTTTCATAACCGGCTTTGTACATGTTTTTCTTGGAGTTTGGCTCATGCAATGTGCTTAAATCCTCATCTAGGACAGAGCATTAAGCTTCTTATTCAGTAAAAGTTAGGCTCACATTCTCATGTGTTGCATTCAACTGCAGACATACAGTTCCTGAACTGTGCTTTGAACTCCAAAGAAACTTTGAAATGCATATTGCATTTTGAAAAACAAACCTGTGTCAGGCATCTTAAATAGTTCCTCTTCATTGACTCACATGCTTTGGGAATAGCTGTTTTGAGAAAGATGCACCAGGGGAAACCACATACCTAAATTAAAAGCCCCCAGCAGTCTAAAAATGGTCACAAGTAAGGAGGCATGCAATTTTTGTCATATACACAAGGCTCTGTTATTTACTCCTGTCCCTTGCCTCTAAACCAGAAAAGCATTCAGGCCTTCAGTAGAGAAACACAAGACAGCAACTGGTTTAAAAAACAGAAAAAGAAGAATAAGATTTAACAAGCCTTAATGTCAGGAGTTCAGTTTTCTGTCTGGCTTGCTTGTTTCTTTGTGGTCTTGGGTTGGCAGCAGCCTCCAAAATGTTGTTTCATGTTCTTGAGTGCAGGTGTGAGGGCCAGGTGATAGTTGTGTAGGAGAGTTGGGGAGGGAAGTTGGCATGATGTGAATTCCCAGCCAGGTAGGCCTGAACACAATTTAGGCAGCCCACGTCAGTAAGCTGTGATGGACCTCTGCTGGGCCTGGGAAGGTCCAGGTCAGGAACCTGCTTTCATATGGCTTTGATGAGAAAGCACTTGCTGCTGCTGTGGTAAGGCAGGTAGTCCTAGGGTGAGTCAGAAAGGGGAGGAGAATTCAACCCACAGGGTACAAGTCAATGCCAATTTTCTGGAGAGAAACTGTTCCCAGTTTCTGCCTTGTACAGTGCAGTCAAAGAACGGTGCCCTGTGCAGTAAAGCCCAGCAGGGAGAGAGGAGAGTGCAGCGTGCGATGCAGCACTGCCTGCACTGGGGATGCAGGGGGGGCAGGATTGCAACCTGAGCTTAATACTCCTTTCTCTTTCTTGTTTTTGCAAAGTGCTATTTTTAAGTTGTGTGAAGGACAGTGTTTATATTAGGTACAATCCACCTTTTGACTGAAAGTGTTGTAATTTTGCAGCAACAAAGGCAGGAATTTACAGAGTGAGGTTGTGTGGCAACAAAACCTGTTTATTTCTATTGTTCTTTGGAACAAACGAGTTATCTTGAGTTGCACATTTTCATCAGTAAGCGTTTTTGTTGGTGAGCAGACCCCCTTTCTTTGTTCATATGTAGCAAGGGGAAGTGGCAGGAATGAAAAGCTAATTTTGCTCTTCAGTGAAGCAGGGAGGATCAGGGACAGTGCAGCGCTAAGCCGCTTCCCTGGTTCCTGTTTGGCAGGCCTGCTGCGGGGACAACGGTGTAAAACAGCTCTCAGGGCAGTGCTCAGCAGCTTTTCCTGAGCAAATGAATTCCGTGTTTTAACCAGTTGTTTCCGGACTGATAAGGTGGTGGAATAATAGGCAAAAAATCCAAGGGCCGCCCAGTCTGACGTTGCTGGAGTGTTTTCTCTGATTTGACTGGAGTCTTTTGTATTGCCTGCAGGTGTTGCATCAGCCATGAGAAAAGGCAAAGTTTGGAGGTGGCAGTGAAAAAGTTAATGTCTACATGGCAAGCTACTTTTCAAATGGGAAATTATGGAGAATATTGGATGCAAAATAAGTTTCTAGGTTTCATTTCTAGTGAATTTACTAGGAACACTGATCCAGATTTGTGAAGAGTCTTGACATCCCTTTTGTAAGGTTTTCAGTGAGTAAATGGGCTACCAGAAGTGTTTCTCAGGTCTCTCTCTCTCATCATGTGTAGCACTCTCATCAGGACTTTTCAGAAACCTGTAATGCATAGGATCAAATTCCTTTTTTAATTTAAAAAGGAAAAATGTTTAGTTAGCAGATATCTGGTCCATAATCTTCATTCATCTATCCAAATAAAACAAAATACTGATTTTGTATACAGCAATTGATAGTATTTCACAGCCTGTGAACAGAAGAGGGATTATATTACTACACTTGGAATAAGCTGTCATGTTTGTATAATCATAGAATGAGTTGAGTTGGAAGGGACCTTAAAGATCATCTAGCTCCAGACTCCAAGCTCCTGCTGTGACTGGGGCACCTTCCATAAAACCAGGTTTCTCAAAGCCCCATCCTGTGAACCGTATCTTTGAACACTTCCAGAGATGGAGCTCAATTTCTCTGGGAAACATATGCCAGTGTTTCACCACCCTCTCAGTAAAGGTTTTTGTACTAGTATCTAATCAAAATCCATCCTCTTTCAGTTCAAAGCCATCGTTCCTTGTCATATCACTATGTGCATCCAGGGTAAAGTTGGCTTTCTGGGCTTCAAGTGCACATGGCTGGGTTGCTTTGACCTTCTCATCCAGCAACACCCTCAAGTTCTTCTCCTCAGGTCTGCTGTTATTCCATTCTGACCAGTCTGTATTTGTGCATATTTTTTCTTCTTTATATGAATCAGTGTCTCTGAGAATGGTATGTCACTATTGACTTTAGAGTCTCTTTCCATTTACTAAAAATGGCATATTCCATGTCAGAAGAGACTTAAAGTTACAGTCATTAAAGTTTATATTATTAAAGTTTGGCTATTGCTTTTAGTGGAAGCACGATTAAACTGACAGCATTTCAATTTGTAATACTTTTCTTTGGAACATACTCTCGTTAATGTCAATAATTGCAATTCAGTTGTATGTCCAATTGGCATTTTCTTGGTACACTGCCTAGCTTTTTTGTGGAATAACACTTTCGCTATTTTGTCTAGAGGTACAGCAGGGTATTTTAGATCAATTGTATGAGTTGTTGAGTTTTTTCTCTGCTGTTGTTATTAGCAGTTCTGATGCTAATGTTTCAAGGTTGTAGTTTCAGCCTATGAACTGAAAGAATAGGAATCTACGAGCTTTTTTGGCTGTGAATAGATTGCAATACTGAGATACTTAAAGCCTCTCAGAGAGCTTGTAGCTAAGCTCCCCTGTTATGAATTGCGGAAATTATTTTGTGATTGACTCAGATATTGCATGTTTTCTTTTCTAAAGCTCAGGTTATTGGTCTTGCTGGAAGTCAAGTAGTTCTTTAGAAAAGACACTCTTATGCAGCATTTGAAAAAAATAGTTTAAGTCCCTGTTACTTGGAAGTAACATTTTTAGCAGAAAACATCTGACTGCTTTGGCTGGCTGCTCCACAGGTGTGCATGGGCCAGTTCCTCAGGGTATCTTTTAGAATTCAGCATGTGAAAGTTGAGAACCTGAAAAAAAATGCTTTGCAATGATGGGATCATCGATCAGGTAGGCCTTTCAGATGGCTTTGTGCAGCTGCTCTTAATGCTGGATGCTCCATAGGAGATATAGGGCTTATGTTTATTTTTATTTTATATTTTTATATTTATTTTTAATTTTTTTAGGTTATGTTTCAATAAAACCCAGAAGGTTAGTTGTTAATGTATTTTTCTTCTTAACACAGAAAATTCCAAGCCATTAGGGAATACAGGTAACAAATCAGTAGCTGTCCCCAGCCCTCTGTTGTTTTTAGAGACAGCTCTTTTTGTCCACACCTAGATTCAGTTATCTCAGTGAATTACTTTGTGGCAGCATATTTCCCTGGGTAACTTTTCCATCATTTCTGAGACCTGGTTGTCTGCTCTCTGTTCTCCACTACTGTGTTGCAGTGTCTCTGCCTTAACTGCAGGTTCCTGGGGCTATGCCATTGTTCTCATACCCTATGGTCTTTTGAGTGTTCTCATTGTGGAATAGGCTTGGTATCTCTTCAGGAAATGGAGCACTCTGCCTTTTTTCAAGGGCGTCAGCATAGTTACTTTTTTTTCAGAGATTGTAACACAAATTAAGAACTTGCAACTTTGTTGTATTTCTTAATAGAGAGAAATGCTTGTTCTTTTTTCAAAGTTCAGTGACTGACAACAGGAGCTGCATTCTTGGGTCTTTCACTGCTGTTAAAACTTAGGGTTACTTAGTGCACATCACCTCTCAGGTCGCTGAATACAGGTTATTTACTGAAGCTTTCCTTTTTGTCTTCTTTAAGAACTTCTGCTTCCAAAGATAGTTAAGACAAATTTTATCAGGAGATTTTCTTCTTCGTAGGGAAGGAGAGTCTTTGAAATTTTGAATGATGTTGCTCTGGATGTTCCGCTAAAGGCTGGGAGCCAAAATCCTGTTCAGCCTGGTGCCGTGGATCAGTAATACCAACTTTAACAGCCAATAGAGTGGCATCTGGCATTTAGAAAGCAAACTGAGCAACCCTTTTCTTGCTGAACTTGTTTCTGAAAAATTTCTTTGGCAGAGTTTGGACTTTGCTTAGTGACATCTTGTGTTTTTTTCTTGCAGCACGATTCATGTAGTGGCAACACTGGCACTTTAGGTTGAAATTTTGTGTAGACAGGAGGCAGAACTAGAATGAAAAATATTTTTTTCCTTTTCAGCCATGTAGAGTTAATGCCATAGTTACAGCAATTTTATTCCAGTGGGGCTGGGAGGGAGAGATGGACAGATGTTAGGAAGAAATCTTGAAGAGAACAACGTATCGGTGTCCACAGGTAGAGCAGTGAAAAAGAAGGAAGAAGGCAAAGGCAGAAGGGTGGGAAAGTTTTTCTTACAACAAGGTTTGTTTTAAAATCAGAATCAGTCTTCTGAGAGTGTTTATTCAACATCAGAAAATTGTGATATATTATGGAGCTGTATGTTATCCTCGTAACATACTTGCATTCTGTATCATTCAGTAAGGGATATGGTATAAAGGGTGTGCATCTCTTCCAAGGTCAGGTACAGCATATGTGCAAAAAATGGTTTCTAAGCTTTGTCTTCCTCAGGGTGCTTCCTGACACCAGTTAGAAAAGGCAATTTGAGTTAACTTTATGAGCAAAAGTGAAAAGTTTTTTTAAAAAAAAAAACCACAAAAATAACAACCTGGATTTTAGCATGAATTTCTTGAGCATTGGTGTGGAAATGTACCTGCTAACATTACTGGCATATTTTCTTCTATTTCATGTAAACATTCTTGGGATGTCCAGAGCTAAGGCTGCCAAACTTTGGAGAGGTTTACTTTAGAGTGTACTCAATTCAAATGACAAGAACAGTCCATTTATTTTGTGACCTATTTATAGCCATTAAACAAACCATGGCAAATGGATCTGCTTTGCTTAATTCACTGCATTTGGTGGAAGATTAAAAGCATGCAAAATGCATTCCTGAAAATAGGTGTGTTTCTGTCTGATACCCTGAAAATCTCTGTATACTACAGAATTGTAATTTTTAAAATAGAATCAGTTCATCCTGCAAGACAAAGAATTGGAAATAAAATACTGATCTTAATACTAAGGCATTTATTAGATAACTATTTTGGCAGAGCAAATATTGGGGAGATTAGTTATTTCTACTACGAGCTATATATAATCCTGCTTGTAAATCTCCAAAAATGATGTAAACATGAAAAAATGTAATTTAAGTTCTGGTTAATTTTAATGATAAGAGCAACACATTTTGAGGGGTTTATGATTGTGTTTTGCTTTCCAGGTGTCCTTAACATATTGAAAGGGTTGTTTAGTTCTAGGACATCCATGTAGTAAGTACCTATCTTGTGTTGTAAAGCCAAACCCCCTAAAATAAATGTGCCACTGTGCTTTGATAAATGCGGAGTAAAAGATAAGGAAAATGTCAGAAAACAATGTTGCTGCCGTAAGTACAGGCTGAGTATATGTATGAAGCGTTGCTAAAAATGGCATCATTGCACCTTATTACACTGAAAGACATCTGTCTTATGAGCACCTTGTGTACAGCACTTAGCATGAGTCCCAAACCCAAACTGGGCCATATGGCAGCTTCTTTAGAACAAAATCACCGAGTCATGATTCTGTGATTCTAAGATTTGTTGATGAGTTTTCCGTCTGCATCAAAAATTCAGTGCAGCCACAAGCTGAGATATTAATGAGAGGAGATGAGCAGCACAACAGCTGAGTATATATAATTATTTTTTCCAAGGCTCAGAAAGAAGAGAACTCAGCTGGCTGAAGACTGAGGCTTTGCTAAGCAAGGTCACTTAGGGTACTTCCCAAGGTTCATGGCTCAATTTCTGCACTGTTTTACTTCTTTATGCTTCAGATATATTTCATTATCTAATTATTAAGGATATGTAATACTTAATTATCCTGAATTGTCAAGACAGACCTTGTAAATAAAGCTTTAATGTGGTAATCCAGACATAATTAAATATGCAACTTAAATAAAACATTACTTCACATGTCTGCTGTTTGTTAACTAAGATGTATTAAGATCATACATGGAATAGTAGGTTGTGATCTTGCTGACCAAATGACTGAGTGGGGAAGAAGATACCAACTTCTGTGTGGTTGTTCCTCTTACACCATTTTGTGCTTGCATGCATTTGTTGTGGCTTTTAAGTAAGAGCTGTAATTCCAAATAGAAAGTGCTCTATGGGTTAGTACTGAAGCACCTCATAAAAACGGTTTTAGTGTTAATGGCAGGAAGACACACACATTTCTTCAAATACAGAGACAGTTATGCAGAATCAGCAGCTGTTATTTCTGAGTCACTTATTTCTAATAAACACAGCAGGCTCTCATGTTGTTAGAAAGTATAGGTGCTTCTGCATTTTGAATTTATATCCTTGGTTCAGGTAGGAGAAGTCTGAGGCAGCATTTTAGTGGCTTACTGGTTTTTTTATACAGATCTTGAGGGGTGTGATCTGTGTGTTTGTACCAATCAATTCTCAAAACCTGCAAATCTTGTTTATAGCCCATAGCATGTAGAATTCTAACATAACAGTATTGCAATGCAAAAGCTTTAATGAAAAGTTCTTTGATGAAGTAATCAAAATGTTAGAAATTAAGACTTCAAACCAGTTAAACTGTCTAAAGAAAATTGAAAAAGTGTGAAAATTAAAGTAAAACTACTCTGTGTCTGAAACTTTGTGAAGCTCATAATGATATTCTTTCTGTATATTTCTGGAATTATTAACTCTTTAAACAGAAATTGAAATGGGAAAAATATTTGATAGGCAGCTGCCTGGGTAGTACAAAGATGAAGCAGAAGACAGATTGTAGGTGTGTAGAAATGAAAGCAATGAGTTATGGTAGATGGCCAGGTTTTTGTGTGTGTGTGTTCGTTTTTAAAACCCAATGCTATTTTCCACTTAGGCCATACTTGGTAATTCAGAAAAGCTAGTTTTCTAGAATTTAAGAAGACCAAGGAACCATTAAAATCAAGTGGGGTAAAAGCAGATTTGGGAAAAAAATAAAGGAAAAAAGTGACAGCTGAGAAATGGGGAACATACTGAAGAATTTTACTGGGTATTCTGACACAAATAGTTTCAAAGGCAAATAAGTGGATAATTTTGACCTAAACTTTGTCCTAATTGGAAAATGTTTAAAAAACAAAATGTCTGTATGTATAATAAATTTTATTCTGCCTCCTCCTTCTTATGCTGTCTTGCACTGGATATTTAGCAACTTTTCTGTGAAGCTAGCTATTTACAAATTCCTTAAAAATGCAATTTCTTCCAGTAATAAGAGCTTTTAAGATAATATCATCAACACTTTAAATGGTTGTAATGCTCTGCTAGAAAATAGATGCTTAGTTTGCTATTCTACTGCTAGTACTAAGATTTTCATGATGAAAAGCAATGTTCAAAGCCTGATTTATCCATTAGTATAGACAGTGCAAGTAGTCTGCGTGGCTGCAGTAGGATTTGAGTAGGTTGGGGAAGATTGTGCTTTAAAGGATGGGTTTCTGTATCGTATATCTATATTTTTCTATACTACATGCTTGACTCTCTCTACTAAAACAAAAATAGACTGTCTTTTTTACTTCAGTGGATATAATTCTTGTTTGAATATCAGTTTCATCCATTAGTTTAATAGGTATATTGCTTTAATTTTTACTGAGATTGTTTTCTCTTTCTAGAAGAAAAATAAGCATTGGTATGGAGAATATGTGTTGTGTTTTGGGTTTTTTCTGCAGTGTTGTTGAAAAGAATTGTGTTTAAACAGTACTTCTGTAGTTGGTGAGGGGTGTTATGTTGGTATTGTACCTGTTTGGTGGGCTGCATTTCTAAAGGATCTCCTCTATAGACGGGGTACTTGGTTAAGAAGAAAAACCTGTTCCCCTGATAACATTATTTCTTACTGGCTTGTCTAGTTGGTAGTGTAAGCATCTAATAGGTTTGTCTTCAAAACATGCTTAGTTTCCAAAATGATCTGTTTTAATAGGTAGTTATTACAAGAGGGATGTTGAGCTGAGGTAGTTTACACACCAGGAACAATTACACACCACCCTTCTATTCTACTCTTTCCAAGGCATGAAAGTAAGCCAGCCTAGAATCTAATGTGTAGTCAGTGACTTAAACCTTTTAAAACAGAACTATTTCATTTGCTTGAATCTTTTATAGCCAGTACTTTGGTCTTGCATAACTTTAACACTTGTATCTTTTCCAACAGCAAAAACTCCCCATTTCTTGCGTCTTCAGAGTGTGGAAGTCAATGCAGGACAGTTTGCTACTTTTCAATGCACTGCCAATGGTGGAACAGACTCGGGTGACAAACTCTGGTTACAGGTAATTCCTTTTTTTCCTAATGCACTGATATCTGGAGAGAGGAGAGACTCTGGAAGGAATGTAAAACGTGAAAAATTAAGGGCTGTCCACTTCATCAGTATTAGATTTTTTAGTGACTTTGAGCTGCTGCTGTATGGTAGGTATTTGGTTGTAGAAAATGCTACTGGAAGATTTTCCTGCCTTGTTTTGGTGGAATGCCTTACTGAAAATAAAGGTACTGTTTTCCTTATGTGTGGCAATCATGAGTAAAGGCTAAATCCCCAAGGAAGAACAGAAGTTTGTGCTGGCTAACTGGAGTATTACAATATCTCTTGGCTTACCTCTATCTCTGTTCAGTATTTTCAGCTAAAATTCCATTCTCACAGTCTAGCTGGGGAGAAGACCGTGTATGAAAGTCAAATCTGACCTTCTGTATTACAGAGCCAAATAATCTTACTTCTATTCCTTTAGTCAATTGTTTTTTACTTAATCAGTAATGTAGCTTCTAGATGGGTATCAGATCTTGATTTAAAGTCTGTCTCAAACTCATTTTCTTCCAGTAAAGATTGTGTTCCCTTACTCATATGTGTAGGTATCAAAGACATGCCTTTCTGCTTGATGTCTTTTAATAATGGGGTGCAAGTTTAGCAGCTGTCTTGCTGCCAGCAGAGTTGTTCCCTACAGCAAGCAATAGTGAGTGTTTGGACTTAGCATCAGGAGTACAGTGGCCGCCAGATCCCAGTGATTTCCACACATGAAAACCAACAGAACTGAGACATTGTATGTGAGAAGGAAGTAAGGACAATCAAAATAAGCAAAACAATGTCTGAGAAGATGAGTCAGGTAAAGCTACAATAGGTGGAGAAAGAGGGATAGGTGAAATTGGCGATGGTAACAGGTGGGACTTAGAAATTAAATTCTCTATTTGTTCTTTCAAACAATTTCAGGCTTTTACTATAGTTATCCTTTCTCATTGCATTTGCATTTTGTAAATTATTCATTTAAGTGTGTCAGGTTAAACAACCAAGTAGTTACAAGAAATCTAACACACAAAAATATAATTAAAATCAGTTGAAAAGCAAAGCCTCATATTTATCGCTATATGAATGATGAACTGTTATGTCTGTTCAGAAAGAGCCTGATCAAATGCATTGAAGGCAATGAAAATCTCCTTTGGTTTTATTTGGATTTGCATGGGTATTTCCAATGTCTTGCTGATACAAGGCTGATATTTTTCTAGTGTTCCAACCCCTTAAAGACAGTATTCACTGCTGAATTGCTAGAATTAGACTCTTGTCTTTCCTAAGCCACCAAGATTTTCTGAAAAAAATATTTTTCTAGTCATGAAATGGTTTAGCATGTATGGGAAAATAATGGGTTGCTATTTCATCAATTATATCCTTTCTAGGACCTTTAAACTTTCACGTAATGCTCTATTGTAAAACTGAAGGTAGAATTCAGTGTAAGGAAATCCTCATTCCATTCAGTCTTTCCGAATGTTTCAGGACAGTACCATTACACCTTTAATTTTTTTCACAGAGTTTGGGACATGCATAAATTCTTTGCCAGGCTGGAATTCAATTTCTTTATTGTAGAAATTAAATATCCTTCTAGACTTTATGTAATACAAAACTATTTTATTAACAGCATAGAAATTCCAAAATATCTGATCTTAGTTGATTCCTTGTTTGTACATGATTATGAAGGTTTTTTTTCTCTATGAAGGATAAGAAGGTAGAGACAGACAGACTTTAGAGGAATTTTATCTTCCTACAGGGCCACTGTTTATTTATTCTGCCTGTAGAACTATAGGTCCCCCAGGTAATCAGCTTAAGGTTGTGCAAATTCCAGGTGTGCCTTTGCATAAGAATGTTTTAGAAGTTGACAGGATCTCCTGGATAGCTTGGATTTATTTTTGCACTTGTTTGCCAGTTTCCACAGATGTCTGCTCAACTTCCAGTAAGACTGATCAAACAGCTCCATGTGTGGGATGCTGCAAATCGAGGCTATGAGATAACAGTTCCCTACAGGATCAGCTGCATTTTAGCACACTAGGGTGTTGTTGGGTAACAGATCCCCAGCCCTTGCACCTGTCCATTCATCACCTGGCTCTCTGGTCTCGTGGTGTGATGCTGAGGAGTTCTGTATATGCCTGTGTGTGACATCTCATGACACTGCTGCAGGACTATGAGTGCAATGCAGCTGTCAGTACCAGCTGTCAGAAAACATGGTATCCTGTACATCATATAACTGGTTGAGTGGATGTTGAGGATCTTTGCGTTCCCAGTAGCACTAAACCCAATATTCAACTACAAAACATCTTAATAAAAGACATTCTTATATACACTAGAGCCAGAATAAAATGAACACCATTCCCTGGGAATGTTTATGCTAGCACTCAGGTAAGAGGGATTTGGGCTTTAGTGGTACTGCAAACAAATCATGCAATCTCTATGATATGCTTAGTTCACCAGAAAGAGTAAGCCTTTTCCACTATCCTTTCAGTGGTTTGTTTCATTACACCTATAAAACCTTAAGGATAAATCAGAGTAAATAAATAAGCACAGTTGAGTGATATTATCAGGGGCTTTTCAGCATTTCTGCCATGTGAGTTGTATTGGGAGGCCTAATCTGTTTGGATTTGACAATCTCAGAATACTGTGAGATAATTTGCTCCCAAATGATTTCCAGTACCTGTCATTTTTTTTCAGATTCACATTGTTAGTCTGAAGTACAGGCAAATTGCCAGGTTGAAATCACAAGCCCACTGAATTCAGTGACATTTCTGCAGTTTCCAGTAGTGGCAGGATTTCACTACTGTACTTCTGTCTCTTATTTTGTACCTCTCTGCTTATATGCAACAGAGTTCAAGTTTAGAGGTACACATTTATCTGATGAGCAAATTCTTTACTTTTTACAGTCTGCTAGACTGTGAGGGCTATATGTTCTTTAAAACAAATTAATAATTGTGAGTTGATTCATTGTTTTAGTCTCCATGTATTTCCTAAGAAAGTAGTTGTTGGAAACAGCATAGATGTTCTTAGTCTAAGCCCAGGCCTTGAAGCAGTCCTGAGTGAAATCCGTAAATAATACTTTACTTCCATCACTTTTTTTTGTTTGGTTGGTTTTTTTTAGGTTTTTTTTTCCTCTTTTCAAGTCTTTCCCACTCTTATTCCCCTTGGAACATGGAGTCTGCTAATTTATGGAGTATTGTAGAACTTTCTGCAATTGAAAGGGCCTTGAGGGAATCGCAATTCATATGTTAGATACCCAAATTAGACCACTGAGGCATGAAATTTGTTTCATGATGCTGTGATCAGTATTTACTCTTTCGGGAAAGGGAAGACAGAAAGCTGTTTACCTACTGCATGGTGCAGAAAAACATTTTTCCTCATTCCACTAGGCAGCCATAGTCCCTAGTTCATGAGCTGTGATCACAAGCTTGTCAGGTAATCTGACAGCAAATTGTGGGTATTTTCAGTGATACCATTTCAGGTTAAATTCAAATGAAAGGGCTCAAGAATACCACATAGTACCATACATCAAACAAGTTTGTTTTGTCATTGTAATGAGTGTCTGGTTAATAAGGTCATTGGTTAGATTATGTGTTCATGAATTCACATCTCCACTAACTTACGTTCTAAACATAAACATAAACATAACAAAATAAACCTGAATGTCTACAATTAACAGATGTGTCTAATCTGCTTACATTTTCTTTTTCACATCTGTGAACAATACAGGTCATTGCCAGTATGGGATGTCTCTTTCTTTCCTATTGAATGGTCGAGCAAAAATTCCTGTGCTCCTTTCTGTGCTCCCACTGTTGCAAAGAAATGAACAGGTGGAATACTGAACCATTCATGGTCAAATGAAAGCAGCTGAGACAGTTTTCTGAAAAGCCTTAGTGTCCACTAAATTGGCATAGGAAACACAAATCTGTATTATAGGAGAGAGGGGTTACTTCATTTCTGGAAGTAACCTGCTTTTGGTGCAGCATATTGGAGTTGCAAAGAATTGGCTTGGTTTTCTTTAGCTTATGAGGCCTGTTTCTTCATTTTCCCATCCTCATCTGCTGCTTCTCATTATTTGCAGCAGGTTCATTTAGTTGTCTCTGTGTCCTGCTTATCCTTAGAATGATCTACAGTATGATTTACAGGAAATTGCTGTCAAATCATACCCAGATATAATGAAATTCCATTTTAATATCAAACACAATCTTTTGATATTGCAATTGCATTTTTCAGATGTGCTTTGACCCAACGTGAGTAGCCTTTCTTGAGAGAGGCTCCTCAAAGAGTGGAAAGCTATAGCTGATGAAAAGAGAGGTCATCATTTCACAGCAGTAATTTATTTTTCCTGGCTTTATTCTAAACCATGGTTGAAATGTAAATAGTTACTTTAAAATGTAATTCTCAAACACATAAATTTTATTGCAGAATAGAGAACTGAAAGTAGAAATTTGTTGATGGCGAGCAGATAACAATAGGATCTTAGGATATGTCTGACAGCTTTAGTAAGCAGAACCATCAGATTTATCAGTAGCAAGGGACTAATGGATATTTTTTGATAAAAAGGGAGAGGGTGAAATCTTTCATGCCGTGGTTTATGCATGCAGGATGTGTACTACTTCATTTGCAGCCAAGAAGCTAAGAACAGTATCACTTTAATGGCCAATCTCTCTCCTACCTTATGTAAATAGTTTATTTCCTGGATTTGGCTTTTCCTTTTGTCTTTCCTGAAAGCTGTCTTTCACCTTATTCAGTGGTTTTTTTGGGTTTTTTTTTGCATCCTCAGTAATCTTTTGCTGAAGGTGTGAAGACTGTGAAAGATTTTATTCATCTATATACAAAACTACCTGTATGCATTATTTATTACTTTTTCAAAGGAAGAGATATAGTCCTGTGTCAGAGGGAGTTCTGGAAAGCAAATTGTTTTCCTCAGGAGTACACACATACCCAAATGAGAGATATCAAAAACATCCTTGGAAGAATGTAGAACCAGTGAAATGACTCTTGGCA